TTGTTTTCTAGCTTCTGGGAGCTTTTTCCCATAATTTTTTATATGATTTTAATATATATTCTGCTGTAAAAACTTTTAAGTAATTATCATTTATGTAGAATTAATACAATAAAGTTGTAATTTTAAAAGGGATTGTGTTGTTTATTGAAAGAGTACAAGACTAGTCGAACATTTTAAGATGTTTATGCATTCACTAAGTTATTGATTTTTGGTTATACAGTCAAAAGTCGTTAATCCGGACTCGTCGGGACTTTGGCGATCCCGGATTATAGATCATCAGTTTAAATCTGGTAAGATGGCATGCAGAAATTATAAAATTAAAAATATGAAACCGTAATTTATGAAATGAAGAACAATTATGATCTAAAGGGTATCAAAATTTACAAAAAAAAAAAGAAGCTTAATATTTATTTGTTTACTTTATTAAACATTTCTTTCAATGTAAATTGTTTAGGTTGCTTCGTTTTTTATGTGATAATACTTTCTCTTTAATTCTATAAAGACATAATTTCTTGTTCAGTTACAAAGTTCCGCTGTTCAAGTCCTATAATTGCTGTGTCGAGAATACCGACTAATTTGTCAATCGAAATTTTTTTGTTTTCAATAATCTCTATGTCACTTTCTTCGCTATCGGAAACGAATTATAATGACGAGTAATTTGATTTAAATCATATTAAAGACGGAGTACATCGAGATGAAATACTACATTTAGTAAGGAATTATAAGCCAAATAAAATAAAAACATCTGCCTTGAAGATAAGGATAGTGCTGACAGATCAACTTCCAATTCATTGAGGTCCGCGGCGTTCCCCCCCGTCCCGCTGCAGAGCTGTGTGAAATTGGTAAAGAGATTTCGGAATGGTTAGGTAAACAAAGAATATGCCTTTATCCATTTTTTGCAGCAATTCCACTTTTTGTTTAATGGACTTCGAAACATACTTTCGCTTTGTAGATCCTTTACATATTAGTAAATATATATCAGAAATTTCACATAATCGAAAGTTCAAGCTTACTTTTATAAAATTGCTCTAACAATAAAATAATAAGCCGGATCCAATTCGAAGATTAAGGAACAATGCAATCTGCAACATTAACTGAATTAGATAATTTTAGCTTAGCTTATACCATCCGTTGTACATTAAACGTGCATTCGTAAACGAATTTTGCACATGCGTACGCGAATATTCGCAGCTGTAAAGGTCTTACGCGCATGCGTCAAACCGACGCATGCGCGGAAAAAAAGAATTGTAGCTTTGAGGTCCGGATTATAGATCGTTCCGGATTATGGGTGTCCGAATTAACGACTTTTGACAGTATATGCTGTTTTACTGTTTGTCTAATTTTACTAATTTTTTACTATCAACTCATGTTACTTTGCGATGAATTAAAGTTGTAATCTGTTTATAAATACAAAAAATATAGACGTGTAGAATTCTGAAAATGAAATATGAACAAGAAGCCCTATTTCTAGTTTCGTGACACAGAATTATGTTTGTTACCAAAGCAAATAGTGTACAGATACAGGTCACAACGTGAACACTTCAGGGCCAATTGTTTTTATTTCATTATGCTGAGTATATTGGACTGGAAGTTTCTTGTGACATGAACATCATTTGTAACAATAGTTGTGATGCACATGACCTTTCTGATTAAAAAAAAATTAATCTAAGGAGTGAATTTTCAGCGGCTCACTCCGAAAATAAGGAAAACAATAACAAGTTCAAATAAAAACTAGGTACTGAACTCATTTTTATGATAAATAGGACAAGAAAACCCTAGAATTAAAAAATGGCCCAACAGAATACTTTGCCCAATTTTTCTGTGGCAGTCAATATGGTAATAAAAGATTATACTTATTCTAAAAAGTAAAACACAAAAAATTTAACTTGATAGGATAAAAATTGACTGAGATATTTAAATTCAAAATTTCAGAATTTAGTTTCTTTTCTAGCTTTAAAAACTAAGTTGAGTTTTATCCTCTTTTAATTTCATTCAATTATTTTTTTAATGATTTTCTAGTGTATTAATTTTATAGGTGCTTCTTTGTTAAAGTGGCCACTGAGCCTTATTAACTTAAGTTAGCATATTTAATCGTCCCATATGTAATGCACTAGTTTTAGATGTCACCAACGGTGTATGTGGTGGTGCCTTTAACTGGGAAGTACTATTCTTTACTTTAAGATTTTGTTATGCATGATATGTTGAAAACATTTTCACGTACAGTGGATGGACAAAAATATGGAAACACCTTGTGAAATGCATGTTTGAAAAGAAAGATTGATTTTAATGAAATATGTAGGTGGCACTGGCATTTTTGACTACTGGACGCCACCTATACAACTTCGTAAATGTGCTAAACAGTTCAGTTGTTGTCGAGTACTGTTATGTGAAGTTGTCATTGCATTATGTCAGAGTTAACAGACTTCGAACGTGGGCAAATTGTTGGAGCACGTATGGTAGGTGCTTCCATAAGCAAAGGTAGCCGAGTTGTTTAGTGTTTCAAAGAGGTACTGTATCGAAGATTTATTCCGCATATTTGAAAAGCGGAAAAACATCATCTGCTAAATCACACAGCGCGGACGAAAGTGTGTCCTGAGTGATCGTGACAGACGATCATTAAGGGCAATTGTGACGAAAAAAAGAAGACCACAGCTGCAAAAGTTACTGCTGAAATGAATGTTGTGTTACCACCGAACCCTGTGAGTACCAAAACAATTAGAAGGGAGCTTCATAAACAGGGAATTGCTGGCCGTGCTGCATTGAGAAGCCACTCATCAGTGATGCTAATGCCCGTAACAGGAAAAGGTGGTGTTTGTTTAGGTCATAAAGCCTGGACTATAGAGCAGTGGAAGCGAGTAATATGGTCTGACGAGTCTTCTTTCACATTGTTTCCCACTTCTGGCCGAGTTTACATCTGGAGAACGCCATCTCAAGCCTATAATACAGACTGCTTGTTGCCAAGAGTGAAACATGGCGGGGGTTCTGTTATGGTTTTGGGCAGCCATATCGTGGTTCTCTGCTAGCCCCATGATAACTGTGTCAAGGCACATGACTGCCAAGACTTATGCGAACATTTTGGCCGATCAAGTTCATCCCATGGTACAAACTTTGTTCCCTGATGGTGATGGTGTCTTCCAAAACGACAAAGCCCCTGTTCACACAGTTCACATTGTCCAGGACTGGTTTTCTGAGCACGAGGATGAGTTGTCTCATCTCCCCTGGCCACCACAGTCACAAGACCTGAATATTATCGAACCTTTGTGGTCTACATTGGAACGGAAAGTGCATTCTCGTTATCCACCGCCAATATCGTAATCTGAACTTGCCACCGTTTTGCAGGAAGAATGGTATAATAGTCCCTTGGCAAACATACAGGAACTGTATTTATCCATTCCGAGAAGACTGCAAGCTGTTTTGGATGCCAACGTTTTTTCCTACACCATATTAAGCAAAGAAACATGTTTTTTTAAAGGTGTTTCAATATTTTTGTCCAACCCCTGTAAGTAATTAATGCATTTTCATATATTAAAAAGGTAAAAGTTTGCCATTGGGTGTCCTTGTTTATTGGCGATTCTTTTTTGACGACAAGATCGCGCCAGGAAGGCACAATTTCAAGATGGCCGCTACACAAAACCAAAATAAGAAGTCAAAGAATTGCACAAGATCTGTGTCCATGTACACATCGATCAGTTTTTACTTAAAAAAACATCCTAGAATTGCACAAACTAAGCATTGCGCACTGCCTTAAATATTCCATGTACACATCAATCTAATTTCATTTAAATAAAATCGGGAAGCTAAAACAAAGTTAAAACTATCGTGGTAACCAGAAGTGAGGTTTCATCGCCAAAAATGTGAAAAAAATTGTTGCCAATCAAAGAGGGGCACCCAATTCTACACTTGGAATTAGAATTTTAATGGACACCCAATTCCATTAAAATTCTCATGCAGTTTTATTACTTTTAGATTATAATCAGTTAACCATATAAAAAAACTCATTAGACTAAAAATAATTTTCATTTTTAATTTATACAAAACATGTTATGAGTTGGCTATGTGCTAGTGCTGAAGTTTATCAATTTTCTAGCACACAGATTCTTTAAGATTCTGTGAATAAGATCTCTTTTTTCGAAAAAAAAAATTATATTGGTTAATACTTTTAATGGCACTCTGCATAACAATGCTCATTATTTAATTAATCTATTAACATCAGAAACTTTTTTTTTAAACTGATATAAATGCACACTTTTTCATTCTATGAATGTCATTAGTTTTAAGCTTATTAAAAAAAGTCATAAAACTCAGATTAAAGTAGAGTATGTAACTACAATTTATTAGTACAAAGGAGCTTTGTCCCTGAGGGACTATTGTTTTTGTTTTGCGATTTTGCGTCGAATCACTCTGAATGTCCGTTTCAGTTTTCAAACTGTTGCCACCAAATGTTATTGCCCTTTATTTATATTTGAAGAAATTAAATAATGAAGAATCTGCATAAATGTATGTATGTTTCTCGCATTATGTTAAAACAACAGTACCTAGAACGATCAAATTTTGAATAACGTAATCCTCATTATTTAATTAATCTATTAAATCCTACTGCGAATATGGGCATCTGGAAGCCCAATTTTGGAATTTGTTTTATCATCGATTTCATATTTTGTAAAACTTTAATGAATTTTTGATTAACAAACTCAAGGATTTCAAAGCGAGCAATGGCAATGTTGTACAGAAAAAAACAATTTTATCTCCAGCGCATGAGACTATGTATCGGAAATTCTAAAGATATGCTCAGTTTAAAATTATATTGCAATATTGCTCTTGAACTGAATTTTATGGTTTAAGTGCAAAGAACAGGATTTTTAATAAATAAAAGTAACACACAAAATGGTAACAAAAAAAAAGCACCCCTTTGAACATAATGTAAAATCTGGAACTTTTCAAATAAAAAAAAAAAATTATTTTTTTTATAAAAATTTTTATATTTTAATTTTTCTTTGTAGCTTATTTAAAAGTGATAGCTCCATTATCTCCTGTGACCGAAGCTGATCTTGGATCACAGCTGCTTTTGTCCTGCAATGTTAGTGGTGAACCTCCACCTTATTTCATTTGGTTGAAAGAAGGACGTTCCCTGCCTATGAATTTGAGTTGGGAACCGCCGTATAATGACCGACAGGTTTTAATCTCATACTCGGTCCTTTCCATTGATGCTGGAAATTACACCTGTTTATCTAGCAATCTGTATGATTTTAAAAAGCAGAATACACAACTTAGAATAAAAAGTAAGTATTTTATTTGTGTTTTCTTAGTGGCTGTTTTAAAGCTGATATACTTTTCCTCAATTTTAGAGAAAGAGTATCTGTTTGTTATATATCTACAAAGTTTTAGGATTGCCTTTTTTGGTACTTAAGTATATCATGGTCACCTCAGAGTTGCCAACTCTCCCGATTGAGGCGGGAGACTCCCGATTTTCGACCGCTCTCCCGCTAATCCGATTTACAGTATATTTCTCCCGATCTTATTCTTAAAATTTCTCATGATTTTTATGGAACTTGTCTTAATACTTTGTTATATGAACAAAAAAAAAAAAAAAAGTGATTTTGGACATCTGAAAGCAATTAAATTTTCTCTAGATTATATCTAAAACAAAACCTTGCAAATTAGATAACTTCTGCTTTGTGAGTGAGAGCATATAAACGTATCCAGAAACATCGTTCTCCAGTTCTCCAATGGGCATCGTGCTCCACTGCGTGTCATCTGGCATATATTAGCCAATGAGGAAAAAGCAAGCTGTTATTTGGATGTTCTTTAGTTATTTCGGTCATTTTGTCCTGAGTTGTGTGAGTAGTTGTGCCTTCGGGAAATAGTTTTAGAAATTATAATCTTTTGTTATGTCTGCGAGAAAGGTGAAATACTCATGTACGTTTCAAAAATCATACACAGTTGACTTTCCTTCCATTATTTCCTCAAGGAAATGTAATAAATTTGCGATGTGTACCGCCTGTCATTGCGATTTTTCGATTTCGCATGGTGGAAGAGCGGATGTTCTCAAACATGTGCATACACAAAAGCACAAGGACAACATGAGTTGTTTTGAAAAAAACAAAAAATTAAATTTTTCTTTGGAAACAAAGGACCAAAAAGTTATTAATGCAGAATGTCTGTTCTCTGCCTTTTTAATGGAGCACAACCTGCCACTGAATGCATGGGATCACGCTGCAGCTTTATTTAGAAAAATGTTTCCCGATAGTGAAATCGCTAAGAAATATTCAAGTGCAAGAACCAAAACAGGTGCAATTGTTAAAGAAATGGATTTGAAAAATAAATCTTCAGTTATTGATTGCATTAAAACAGCTCCGTTCTGCCTCTCTACGGATGGAAGCAATAATACCGATTCAAAACTGTATCCAATTGTTGTTTCTTTTTTTGATCCAGAGTCTTCAGAAATTGAGTGCAGTTTACTTTCTGTCCCCACTTTAGAAGGACATTTGACAGGCTTTAATATAGCACTGCTAATTATTAAAACTTTAAAAGAAAAATGCAGTCCCTCTGGATAATTGCTTAGCACTTGGTGCCGATAATGCACCAGTATTGGTAGGCTTGAAGACTAATGTTACAGGCATCTTGAGAAAGGAAAATTCAGATTTGCAGATTGTGAGGTGCACCTGTCACCTCTTAAATTTAGCAGCTAAAAAAGGGGCAGCTTCTTTACCAATAAATGTGGATGAACACATTGTTGATATTTATTATTATCTTGAAAGGATTTCTAAAAGGAAGGGAAAATTGAAACAGTTCCAACAGCTGCATAACAGCAGTTTACAATTAGAAAACTTGGATGAAGTTATAAAATCAGCTAGGATTGACACCCAGTGGAGTTTAATTGGAAAACTGAAAGATGCTGATGGAATTTTAAAATATAGTGAACTGTCTAAAATTATGTTGGCCATCTTGACAGTTTCCCATAGTAATGCAGAGTGTGAGAGGATTTTCAGTGTTGGGAAAACGAGAACTAAATTTAGATCTAATATTAGTGATGACACATTAGAAAAACTTTTATTAGTGAAAGCAGGCCTACGTGGCAATTGCTATGAACAAAATTATGAAGCTTCTTTCTTAAAGAAAGCAAAATCTGCCACTGTTTATAACATTAGTTTTTTTTTTTTTTTTTTTCCTCTTAAACTGTGCAAGTAATAAAAATGTTTTTTATGTGTAAGGTATTTTTGTGTTGCTTGCATTTAAGAATTAGTTACTAGTTATAGTTAATTCATTTTTAAAAACTATATTTTCATTTAAAATGTCTTTTTAACATTGTGAAAATTCTCCTGATTTCTTAGAAAAAAACTCCTGATTTTTGAGTGTCATAGTTTGGCAAGTATGTCACCTTGAAAAAAATCACAACCTTCATAATGAATTGCTTAGAGTTGATCATGAACAACTTTTGCAAGCAGTGTAATTTATTCCAGACAGTGAATGTTTTGCATATTTTAAACTACTTCTTATATCATTGAATGGAAAGTGTTCATCAGCCGCAAAATAAACAAACCATAGTGCTTTTAAAAGTAATAGTAGAAAACTAACTTCACAGTTTGAATGCCTTTTTGCTTCTCCTAACTTTAAACCTTGCATTTCCAAATGCTGTCATTATTGATATATAGAGGCATTTTATAATTATTTTTGCGTATTTCTTTCAGATACAAAGCCTGTTCCAATCAGTAATCGTATTTTCGCTAAAGTTGAATTGTTTTCTCCCACCACTTAATTGATACTAGTTCATCTGCTCAAAAATAAATAAATCACATTGCTGTTACAAATGTATTCAGGAACTAATTGTCAAAACATATGTTTTTCTTCACTCGTAGCTTTACACATTTCACTTCCAAACAATTTCACTTATACATAGTTTCATTTCGTAACTGTTTTTATGTATTCAAATCCGAGATAAAATGCCTCTTAGGAGAGCAATGTAGCGTCTTCCCCAGTCATCAGTAAATAAGAAATAATTAACATTTTTTAAATAAATAGAAAAGGTTTTACATTCTTTAAACATTTTTATTTTTTTTAACATATACCCTACTTCTCTTATCAGTCCTCCTACCCTCAGTCATCAGTAAATCAAAAACTGTTAACATATTTTTTGAAAAAGAAAACACATTATCATACAGTCTTCTCACATTTCTTGAGACAAGTGAACTAGTTAACTGATCATTGTTAGAACTCCTACTGGTAATTTATCATTATTCATGGTGTTGTTTAAAAGTGCTGACCATAAAAATTAAGAAGTACCAGCTCTTTATTGGTGAATGCGTGTTGCTATGGATTCAGTGTCTGAATAGTCAGAAGTATAAAAGTTTTCATTGTAAAATGCAGCTTATTATAAACAAAAGTTTATCTGCTCTTAATCACCCCAGTTGCAGATTACTTTCTGGTTTTAAAGTATAACCACACTTTAAATTCCACCATTTTAAAAACATTGAAAAAAAAAAAAAAACCTGTGGTAATGAGATGAAGGATTATTGACTTTCATAAAGTAGCCTAGAAGCTGTTTAAATGTCTCATAACATGTATATTTCAGGTGGGGGGATGGGACAATTCTGTATCTCCCTCTTTAGTGGACTGATTGAAGAAATTGAACTTGCATTTTTCATGTTTTGTTCATAATGTTAAATCTTCATAGATACAGAACATATACAGCTGAAAAATGTATTATTAAAAAAGAATAGATGAGGCAAAAACAGTTTATAAACTATAGTCACTATAGTTTATAAACTATCTCCTGTTGAAACTGAAGCTGCTAACAGAGGGAAACTTACTGTATAATGAAAGGATAAAATAATTTTATTTAAAACCATAAGTTTTCCATATAATTTTAATATCTTTTTTTCTTATTATTTGCTAATGATCATGGTCATAAGACACATCAGAAAATGTAATTTTTTAATAGTTTATATATTGACATAACATAAAAAATGTTGAGAAACATAACTATTTTGAAAGAATTATAGAGGAAGATGAGCCATTTGTAATTTTAAACGTTATGATATGATGAAAAGAAAATATGACAGTAATATCCAAATATATAAATTATAAGTATCTTAAATTATATCAGCTACTGTTACGTTTTTATAAAAAAAGGATTAAGTGAGTTGAAACTAACTGAATTTCTTATCACCCGTGTCCCAGAAAACACACTGATATTTTTAACTTTTCTGTTACTTTGAATAGAAAATAAAGTTATAAAAATGCTCATTTTATGCATTTAAAATTTAGAAATACTCATTATGTGTTTTTGCAACAGAAATATGCAGCTGCTACTTATTTTAGATAAAATAAGGAAAATGAAATAATCTTTTTAACTTATTGAATTTTGTATGGTATTTTTTAAGCATAAATCTTTTACTTAAAGTGCTGTAAGTAAAAGTTTTAAACTTTTTACATGAATGCTCATAATGTAAATGTGCTATGTTTTTTTATTTGAAAATCATTCTTATATATCTATAAAAGTAAAAAATATGTGGTTATCTCATGCCAAGTATTGGTTGTATGGTTATTTATTCATACAAAAGGGGAAAAAAACAACTTGCATACAAAAGAAAAAAAATCAACTTGCATGATAAGAATTGCTTAAAGTTAGAATTGTTTTATGTTATACATTTTAATTATTCGTATATTTATTTGAAAGTATTATGATAACAATGGATCTCATATATTTGAGTGTGTAATTGTGGAGATTCTTTCAGCTCCCCCAGGTAAATTACAAAATGTTAGTGTACATCCATCTACTGTAGTAGCTACAGTCCGGTGGCACGTAGATAACGATGGTGGTTATCCGATTACTAACTTTACTCTATTGTATCGACCAACTAATGCTAGTTCATCGGAGAAGTGGCATGTACCTCAACCTGTGCATGTCAGCCCTTCTGCAGTAAGTGTATTTTATTGTGTTTAAATATGTAATTTTTTTAATTTCAAAATATTTTCTGTTCTGGATAAATATGCATCTTATATTACCATTTTCAAAAGATTTATTTTTTAAAACCAAACTTTTCAAATTTTAATAAATATATCGTTTTAGATTTAATCATTTCTGAAAATGAGTTAAGGTATATGCATATCATGATTAGTGTACCAAATAAAATAAATTGTAATTTCTACAAATGAAATTTTCAATTTCCAAATAATCTAGAGCAGTGGTCTCAAATTCTAGCATTTTGGTAGAAGTAATTTAGACTAGCACTCAGGCTGATTGCTGAAAGTGAAAACGTTTGACAGGATGAAAAGTTTTTTTTTTTTTTTTTTTTTTTTTTTTTAACAAAGTGAAGAGGGTTCCCCTCTTTTCTTTTTCTTTCTTTCTTTTTTTTTTTTTAAGTAACAAAGTAAAAATTTTAAAAATAAATTAAAAAATGTTTTTTTCTGAATTATCATAACATGTGTAACCAATAATAACAAGAAAAGAAACATTTAAATTCATACTAATTTTCTGTCTAAAATCTAAAGTTTGCTATCTGTAAGAAATTTTTATGGGTTATAATTTGGAATTCAAACATTTTTGTAGGTAAATATTAAATTTTCACTTTTATTTATTTCAAATATTCTTATAGGTTGAATTAATCACTAATTTAATTTACCTAAAATAAATAAATTACAAAACCTGTCCAAGGGGGGGGAGAACTTGAAAATAAATAATGACAACCAATGCTCTTTCTTTGATGTATTAAATTTTTCTTTGACACATAAAAAAATACATATATTTGTACAGGGTGATCAGTGAATAAGCCCTGATTTCAAAATTAACTATCTGTACAACAAAAATCAATAGAATTATGCAGTAAACTGTGCGTTTATTAGCAAAACTGTAAAAATGGTGTACAGAAGTTCAGAAAATTTAGTTATGAAAATCGTTAACAGATGGTGGTCTAATCACAATGACCTATCAATAGCCTTTAAAATGTGCTTCGAAGATGAAAGTGATCAGTACGACTGTTGGCTAGTGAAAACTAGCCACGGATCTGAACGGATTGCATCAAAGACAGGTTTGAAGTACACGATCACACAAAAAATATTCAAAAATAGCCTATAGCTGTTTCCATACAAAATACAAAATCATCAGGCAATACCCATAAAAGCTGTGAAACAAAGGGTTGACTTTGCGAATCAGATTCTAACAATGATCGACAACTACAGATTTGATGTTAGCTGAATCTGGTTCACAGATGAGGCACATTTTCATTTGAATGGAATTGTTAATAAACAAAACTTTGGAGATTCTAGGGATTCCGAAAATCCTTATTTGTGTGAAGAAGAAAGCACAGCATTCGCCTGCGCTAATGGCATTACTGCATGCGCTGCGGTATGGGCCAAAGTCATTTATCGGACTTTTTTTCGCACGAGAAACGATAACCACTGAACGTTACGTTACGATTTTGGAACAGTTTTTTAGCACTCATCTAGTGTTGGAGGATCGACCAGGTATTGACTTGGTTTATGCAAGATGAGGCTTGACCACATCGAACAGATAAAGATTTTCGCTTTCTTCATGAATACTTTGGGAATAGCGTAATTGTGTTAGATTATTCGTAATTTACTGACACAGGAATAGCTTGGCTTCCATATTCCTCCGATCTGAGTCCTTGTGACTTTCTGTGGGGCGCATTGATAGATACTGTCTATTGAAACAATCCCGTTACTCTAGATGAGCTTGAATCATTGATTGGTGTTGCATGTGATTCCATTTCTGTTGAGACATTGCAAGACACGTTGTCAAATTTCATTGTTCGTTTACGCCACCTCATTGTTTCGAACGGTGAACATTTTGAAAAAAATTGTATTTTGATTGCAAAGGATACTTCTTCAGTCTTTTTTTTTTTTTTTTTTTTTTTTTTTAGACTCCTTTCAGGGAAAGAGTTTTTAGCGCAGAGCACCATCTGTTAACTATTTTCATAACTAAATTTTCTGAACTTTTGTACACCATTTTTACAGTTTTGCTAATAAATGTACAGTTTACCGCATAATTCTATCGATCTTTGTTGTAAAGATATTTAATTTTGAAATCGGCTTATTTGCTTATCACCCTATACATAAATAATTGTAAACTTCTTTATTTCTCACTATAGCTTTAAGCTACAGCACATCGTGGCATTTCGATTTTGATAAAATTTGTAACCTGGGATAGCAACTCGCCTTAGCACAGCTTATGCATGTACACTAACAATACTTCATGCATGCATGGTAGACATGTTTTTTGGTATGGTAATCTATACAGATTTCAGCCATGTATAATCAGCTGTTGAGAAATGTGTGCCTTGAGTTGGCCATGAGAAATTTAACAGCAGTTCATTTCCATATGCAAAAAAATAAACTTTTAAACAGTATTCATAGGCCAAAAGATAAATTTTAGTACTGTTTGAATTAATAATTACTTATTTGTCATTCAGATATGTGGAAATTTATTTACTCAGGATTTAAAAGCATCTGTGGAAATAGACATTAATTTTTCCCCCTCACTCATGTTTATGTTTTTAAATAGCTTTAAATAATTGCTGTAGGTTTCTGTAGCATGCATATATTCAGTTAACTTAACCTTATTTCACATTTATTTCCTTTGCATTTTTGTTTAATATTTCATCCATATTTTTTGATATCATAATGAAATTTCCTCTTTTTGAATTTATTTCATTCTTTGGATATTATTTAATTTCAGTTTTTAGATATTCTGTTTCAATTAGAGTTAGCAATACTGTAATTTACACTGGTCACTTCATAGTACAGAACAAATTAAACACTGTTGCAGAATTGTAAAAAGCAAAATTGAGGAAATAAAATAAGGTACTTCTGAATACAATTATGTACATGATGATGGATAAATATTAGATCTATAGGATGTAGGAGAAAAGTTCAGAGACCTGAATCAATATACTGAGTGAAGCTCATGTTTTGAGTTAGAATTTTACAGATTTTGAATCTTTAAAAATTAATTGTAGAGACACAGATGCAGGAAAAAATATAATCGTTCATGAATGATGCAAGACAGAAGCTGGATGATGCAAAAATGATCTTTTATAAGCAGGAGATGAAAAATATAAAATTGGTTTCAGCAAGGCTGAAACTGTTGATCTGAAGCTCTGCAGTGCAGAGTGATGTCCACTACACTGATACTGTATGGAGGAAAGTGAAATAAAATTGAAGACATCTAAAGTGATTCACCTACATTTAAAAGCAGTGCAGAAGAGATGATGATGTAAGCAAACAATTATACATATAGGTCTAACATATTGAATGGATATGCTGTGTAGGGTCTGGAAAAGTAATCTTCTGGAATAATGTCATAGTTTAAAAGATTTTAACCAAACTTGCAGCATGATTAGTTTCCACATTACTGCAGAAATTTCATTTAGCTTTTTGAGGTAGCTGTAGTGTAATCAATCTTTAAGTCTTTATATGGATTCTTGTTTTTGAGAAACCAAAGAACTCTGGTAAAAAGAAATTAAAAAATTTATTTTTAAAAATTTCTAGCTTGTCTCCTTGGCATTAACCTGTACAGAAAAAGACCTTCTGTAATAATCATGCTAAACATAACATATAACTAAACTATGATAATTCAGAATTAACTTCTGCAGCATGACAGAATTTAACAGAATAATATATCTTTAATCACCAGTTTATCAATTTTATCCGCGAAACAATGCTAACAGTATATAGGAAACCCCAGCCAATTATGTCAGTGAAGTATGATGTGTGCTAAGGCAAGATGCTACTGTAACCATGGGAAAAAATTACTGAAAACTATCTTCACAAATTGTAGATGCTTTTTGGTCAATTTGGCTTTTATCTTACTAATTTTCAACTACGAAAAAAACTGTTCACATATATGTGTACTTCCAAACAAAGTGATTATTTTGATTGCAAAAATTCATAACTGAAGTTATTTATCTTTTTACAAGTATAATTAAAAAATTAATCTTAAGTATCTTAAATCTTTGAATAAAATTTATATCATAGTATAAATTAATTAGCTCCATTTGTAGATTTTCTGGGATGTTACTCACATTCCTTTTTGAAAAGGAAAATAATATAAACTGGACTCCAAATCATTGTAATCTTAATTTTTTTCAGATTCTTATCATAATAATAGTAATTAATTTGTGGGAAATGTGTTTGTTGTTTCACGAGCTGCCATTTTGAGACCATTGTCCCCCATGTCCACCTATTGCATTTGTGTCAGTTCCAGATTTTAGTGTTCTGAAACATTCCAGTTTTATTTGTTTTTAAGTTAAAAGTCATTAGAGCTGATTGTTTTGCTTTAGAGCGAATTATAATGACGAGGAATTGGATTTAAATCATATCAAAGACGGAGTACATTGAGATGAAATACTACATTTATTAAGGAATTATAAGCCAAATAAAATAAAAACATCTGCCCTGAAGATAAGGATAGTGCTAACAGATCAACTTCCAATTCATTGCATGCCACGGCGTTAAAGATAAACAAACGTTAAAGTTTAGATAAACAAAGGATATGCCTTTATCCATTTTTTGCAGCAATTCCACTTTTTGTTTAATGGACTTCGAAACATACTTTCGCTTTGTAGATTCTTTACATATTAGTAAATATATATCAGAAATTCTATTTAACATAATCGAAAGTTCAAGCTTACTTTTATAAAATTGCTCTAACAATAAAATAATAAGCCGAATCCAATTCGAAGATTAAGGAACAACGCAATCTGCAACATTAACTGAATTAGATAATTTTAGCTTACCTTATACCGTCCGTTATACGTTAAGCAACATTTGTAAATGTATTTTGCGAACGCGCACACACATATTCGCAGCCGTAAAGGTCTTACGCGCATGCGTCAATGCAACGCATGCGCAGAAAGTTTGTAGCATTGAGGTCCGGATTATAGATCATTCCGGATTATGGGT